GAGGGTAAATTTGTCATTTTTCGGGTACTTTTCTGGACACAAGAGTCATTTTACAGCCGGGATAAAATATCACACCCCTTTGGCCGGATGGAATTATCCGCGAGATTTGCGCCACGCGGACAACAACTCAGTGCCACGTAATAAAAATCTGAATCCCAACATATTTAGTAAACAAGGGATAAGGTTGGTTAACCAACTTTATCATATCCTATTAAGGCTAGTAAACGAGGCCTAAGAGGATTGTAGTTTATTTGAATTGCATGACAGTTTAATTCCAAATCACTTATATATATATATATATTGTTATAAATCCGATACTACAACATAAATGGCTTTAGGTAACACCATCAAATGTAACATATTACAAATAAGTATCATATAAGTGTTACAAAAAACTACCAAAATTATTACCTATTTGTAAAGTGTTACACATTTGATGGAACTACCTAAAGCCATTTATGTTGTAGAAGAAAAAAAAATTGATAAAACTTTGATTTTCCAGTTAAGCAAAGGGCTTATATTTTAGCTCGAAGTAGAGAAGAAAAACTAAAACTGATCTCATGTAAAGTCCAAAGGGACGAAAGTCAAATATTGTAACAATTTAAACGTACAACATACATTGCGGACAGTACAAGGGTAAGTAAACTTAACATCAATTGACAACAACAATATAAATATTTTTTTTTATTTAAATAGTTTTATTTATTTATTTATTTAATTTCCGCATCTTGGAGGCAATTTTCCCGCTAAAAAGGATGCAAACAAAGTAAGCGCTCTTTTTGGCTGGTCAACAGCCCCACCATGCCCAGCCCCTCTTAAGGTGGCGAAAACCATGTTTTCATTATACCCAACAGCGTAACCTCCCACCTATGAAAGAAAAAAAAAATATCGTCAATAATTGAAGAAGGAAAAAGATGAAGGACTAGGCTAAAAAAATAAAGATAACTTGCCGTAACGGTGTTTTCATAGGCAAAAATTCAATTTTGGTCCTCTAAATTGATCATTGTCCATTTTTGGTACATTAATTTTCCCCTCATAAAAAATAGTCCACCATGTTACAATTTCGTCAATTTTAGTACAGATAATCCCGAGGGGCCGGATTACGTGATGACGTGGACAGGGATTGAAACGACGTGGATGGATAAGACTTTGACATGAAAGGATTACAATTTTCCACGTCATCACTTAATCCGGCTCATCGGGATTACTGTACTAAAATTGACGACAAATGTAACAAAGTGAACTATTTTTTATGAGGGGAAAGTTATTGTAGCAAAGCTGGATAATGACCAACTTAGAGGACCAAAATTTGATTTTTGCCGTGTTCTCATATTTGGGCCGACCATTGCTCGATCTGGGTCTCGATCGGCCCAAAATGAATACCGTCCGGTTGTTCAGACATGTGAATGGTTTTACAATCAACCCGTTGAATTGAAATCAATAATTGAAAATGATAAAATTTCAATGACAATTTTCAATTGACTTTTAAACGTTGTTTTCTCCGTTAATTTTTCAATAGATTCTAATGACCGTTCAATGAAAATTTTTCAGTTGGAATGAAGTTTCCATTGATTTTTTTTTTTTTAATTTATATTTTGACGATTCTAACAACAAATTTCCAAAGTTGAAATATTGTTTAAAATAAAAATTCAAACAGAAATTACATAATTCAACGAAAATCCACACAGTAATATATCGTTAGAAACATGTCGCTAGAATCATCAAATTTCAATAGGAAACTCATTCATTTTGTTAAAGTTTTTGTTTGGAATATTTTATTGTTTTCTGTTGGAATGACACTTGTGGTGAAATAATTGCCAATGACATTTATATATAACATGTAAGTTGCAATAATTTATTTATTATTTATTTGAATAATCATTTGGCTTTAAACTTTTATTAGAAAATGCTACAAGTACATAGAGGTGTACATAACACTCTCACATTGATTGAGGTCCACTTGATTTTTTATTTTTGGTGGGTCTTGTGCTGCGCGCCACTATCTAGACGCATAATCCACCCCAAATATATGACCACTCAATGTTAGTGTTGTGTACATCTTTATGTACGATATTATGTACTTATAGCATTGCTTCTTTTAATTTTTACCTCTTGAGGATCACTGCACCAAGGATACCATGGAACTTGTACAGATTTAGCAAGTTTTGAAATTGAGTACTCCGTTGATGTCACTGGAATCACACCATCTATATCTCCGCTGCAAATTCAGTCAAAATTCAAAACATTCAAACAATTGTCTATTTTCAATAATTGAATCGAAATGAATAAATATTAAATTTAATTAATTAAATGATATATCTATATGTAAATTTAACATATATGCTTCTATTGTGTTATCTAAAATAGTTTTATTTGAAATCTATTAATTAATACTCCCTCCTATTTTTTTTTTATTTAAATGTCATTCTATTTTTATCAACTATTAACTCAATAAATGCTGTTTTCGAACTTTTGTACATATTTTTTCATTATTATCCTCATTTAGCTATTAAATACATTACGTCTTTTCATATTCACTAGCGCAGAGCCCGTGCGATGCACGGGGTGCATAATTTTAAGGTTATTTATCTAGCCTTATAATTATATAAATGAATAAAAAAATGTACGGAATATATATAGTAAGGGACCGGTGCGAGACACGGGATATATTTATTTAGGGAATATTATATTATAAGATGCAATATTCAATAAAAGTTTTATAGTACGCAGAAAAATTATACAATAAAATAGTATCTGCAAAAAAAATCATATATTATTAAAGACCTCCTTGTACATAGATATTAAATAATTTATTAGTAAAATAGTGTATAAGTTGATTAGTACATAGATATTAAATAATTTATTAGTAAAATAGTGTATAAGTTGATTACAATAACAAAACAACATGCTCACGGGATTAGTAAAAATATTTCATAGATTGAAGATTTAATAGGATTAAATATTTAAATTAATTAACTTAGATAATTCAAAAGTCTTCCGACATTGTTTTGACTTTAATATATTACAACATGTGTATACTTTAAATATATTAATATTTAAGGAACTTTAAACAACATAATTTTTAAAAAAATTATTTTAGGGAACTTTAAAAAGCATATTTACGTCACTCATAACACAGATTATATTTCAATATCATAGTTATAGTATTATTTAAGGAACTTGAAACAGATTGTTAAATATTTACGTCCACCCATAAATTTTTTACAAGTCGAAGGTAATTAATCCCGTTTCTTTTTTATTTGTTTGTTTGTTCAATTTTTTTGACAAAACTGATATCATGGATACAAAATTTAATATTAAATAAATTAATTAAATAATATAAAATAATATGTTTTAGACATATATAGGATGCAAATAATCCTCTCATACCAAACAATGCGATTTCAAAATTGACTCAGATCCAGCAATCCTATCTAATATTTCATATAAATAAATATTAAATAAAATACTTTAAACAGAAATTAGATAAAGAATTTTGAATCTGCCTTTTTTTAGTATAAATAGGTTTTACGTACATTTTTTGACTTCACCGATTATGGGATTTGTTTTGACTAAATCGATGTTATTATGGAATAAGACAAATAAATAAAGTCTTTTTTTTTTTTATTTTAGTAAAGATTTTACGTACTTTTTTTTGACTTATCGGATGTTATGAGATTTTTTTTTTCTTAAGCCGGTTTTTATTTTAGTAAAAATTTTAGAATAACTAATATAATTTTATTATCTAATCATCAATAAAATTATTTAATGATGTGATCATTATCTTTTAAATGATAAATAATATTATTTTAAAAAAAATATTAGTTTTATATAATTAAATAAAGATTAAAAAATATTACTCGACAAATATTAATTATAATGGATATCAGTAAAATCATTGCATAAATTATTTAAGGAAAAAATCTTTAAGATCATATCTGGATAATAAATGCAAATATGCAAGCATTTAATGCATATAGTAAAAAATTTCCAAATAAGGTATGCATTAAATGTGTGTTGACTTTTCTTGTTACTATTTTTGGTAAATAGGTTGGCTTTTAATATATATATAGACTCTTTACTTTTTTTCAAAACATTATCTCTATCTTCATTAAATAAGGCTATTATTGATAAAAAAAATTATTCTTAATTATTGTGCAACTTCTCAAAACGTCATATATTAAAAATAGGAGGTAGTAGCAGTTTCCTAGTTTTAATATTAATTAAATTACAAATAAAAAAAGGGGACAAAAATAAAAATAAAAATTAGCATAAATATATGTGCTCACCTGTTGAGCAAAACCCTAACACCGTTGGCCATCAGATTCTTAATGATGGGCAATACTGAGTTGGGACTATCAGTCCAGTTCTTAGATATTTGGGGGCTACAATATTGAAGTTCACTTTTAGTTAATAACAACAAATTAACTTATACTATTATATTATAATAATGGAAGATGCTACGGTCCCGTTACGCAACTATTCCGTCGGGATTTGTAACTGTTAGATCAAGTATATATCTCTGACGGTTACAAGATGATCTAACGGTTATAGAATTCGACAGACTGGTTCCGTAACGGGATGTTAGCATTTCTCTATAATAATATCACAAGTGAAAACAATTTGAATATGGTAATTAATTTACTTGCAATTAGTCCAATTCCTAGGTTTTCCATTGATCACATTCACATGAAGAGCCTTTTGCACGTCAACATTATTTAAGTATGTGGTCACATATTTCATCGAGCATGGATTGAAATTTTGCAAGTCCTCCTGAAGAACAAAAGAAACACGAAAATCGATCGCGAAAATTGTTAGGTTATGCAGTAAGATTCAAAGTTCACATCAAAGAGAGGCCATAATTAATGAATACCGGTGTAGCATGTGAAGATAGGTCACACGAAGACAATGCGTAAATATTGTAAGGGTTGATGTTTCCAGCCTCATCACCGGCTAAATTCATGTAATTAATGCAGGCATCTGAAAAATCGAGTTTTGAGAAGTCGCAATTTCGTATAATGGCCTTGTGAGTTTCGTCAGATATAAGTGCGTGTGTCCACATATAATCAAATTGGCCGGTGTACGCATCTGTTTCGTCGATCTCTGCATTCCCAATCTAAAATCCAAAAAAAAAAACAAAAAACAAAATACCTTCGTGTTAGTTAATGATATTTGTTTTGATTTGTTAAACGACGGAAAAAAAAATGAGCGACGCAATAATATAGTAATAAATGTATCACAACGATGTACTTACGAAAATTCCTTTCAAGTTTATAAGGATGTTATTAGGCTTCTTGATTTTGTTGTTTGTCAGAATCAAATCAGCAAGCTGGGTTACAAAATGACCAGCATAACTGCTTCCCGTTATGTAGAATGGTCGATTTTTGTATTCGGGGAACTTTTGGAGCCATTTAACTAAGAAGGTGTAAGTATCTTGTGCTGTATTTTTGTCGCCCGTAATATAATCCGCTTTATTTGTTGAGTATGAAAATCCGACGCCAGCAGGGGACTCGAGGAACAGGACATTTGCCGCTGTTGTAAATGAGTTAAGTACTTTATTTCTCGACAAAAAGAAAAATTACGATAACAAATTATCATGTCGAATCGAGAATTTACCTTTGTTCCACGAGTATTGGTTGTACCATAGTGTTTTTCTATCCGGATAGACCCGAAAAGGTCCGAGTTCGGTCATTGCTCCAAATCCAAATGAAGAGCAACCAGGTCCTATGTTGAGCAAAAAAAAAAAAAAATTAATGGTTCAGCTTTGCAAACTATATATGGTGTGGTGTATTGTTCAAACTAGCTTCAACGTACATGTTAAATAAATATTTTTTATTTTTTTTTTAAAAAAACTCTTACCTCCAGTAAGCCACAACGCTAAAGGTTTGTTTGTCGGGTCCTCTGACTCGGTAAAATAATAAAACAAGGCTTTCTCGTCATTTGGTCCAACCGGAACATAACCCGAATAGTGGCTAAACTTGATTGGTGGCTGCCCGGGCAACTCTTTGATTCTATCATCTTCTTTCCGACCCGTTTGAAAATTTTGTTGTTCTTGCGAATTTTTCGACGTTGATTGATGAAGATCGTGGCATCTTGCAATGGGTGCAAGGCACAAGATAGTGAAAAAGAGAAATGATGTGAAAACTTTCATTAACATGTTTCTGAATTTGAAATGAAGGAAATAATAAGTATATTTTGGTAGATTGGGAGCCTTAAGTAATGTAGTAATTCTTGGTTTATTATAGTTGTAGCTTTGAAATAAAATAGACCTTTTTTTTTTTTTTGATGAGCTTGTATAGTAAAATTTACAACTCATGGCTAGCAAGTAACAACTGTGTTCTCTTATTGACTTTCAAATCTCTTGTTCATAGGCATGCATGATCTTTAGGATTGAAAAAGTTGATAAAGTTGAAGATATGGCTGTGGATAATAGGGGGTAAATGTTTTTTAAAATCAGGTGAATATCTATAATAAGAGAACTCTTAGGGGTAAAATGGTTGATGAAAAGGGCAATTGTCAAACTTTCTAAAAAAAAAATTTAAATCTTTTGTTTTTAGTGAACCTTTTTGAAGGGAAGGAACATCTCTCACTACAATAAAAACGATAAAATTACAACGGAAATATTTCAATAGAATTATTCCAGTGGCAAATACAATATATGTTTCAATTTTATTATTTTCGTTGGAATTTTTCAATGAAAGTTTGTGTGTGAAAATTGTAGATATATGAGAGGACCCTCTACAATTTTCAAATTTAAAGGGCTTTAAAGTATTATATCCCTGATTTTACCTTATTTTCTAAAAATATGAAAAAAAAAATAAATAAATTATTGCTTCTATTTGTAAAAAACTAAAACTAGAGGAGGTGGTTTATGTTGAAGCCAGGGAATTTAAAGGTGGTATGGTATTGCTCCTTTACTGGTCTAGTAAAGTTCATAATTTTTAAATAATGAACCATATTTTTTGTATTGAAGTCTATTTGAAATTAATGTTTGGTTTCTGGTCTAGTAAAGTGCATATTTTTTGAAATGATAAACCATAGTTTTTGTGTTGAAGTCTGTTTCAAATTGTTTGGTTTTGATGAAATATAATGGGCACTTTTTTATGTGTGCAAAGACGTGGCCAATTGCCGGGCGGCGACCCGGCCCAGCCCACCGGGTCAATCTCATGGCCCGTGGCTCGCCCATTCATATGAGTCGGTTCATAGAACCGACCCTAAACTGCCGGTTTTAGAAGGTTGTGGCTCGTCGTCCAGCCCTGTGGCCCGCCCCGCCCCGGCCCAGACCGACTGGAAAAAAAAATGAAACGGGACCGAACCATGACCTTAAGGATCCAGTTCAACGAACCGGCCTTAGGAGGCTGGTTTAAGGCCGGTTCGGGTCGACCTGGTTCAGGTCGGGCTGGGATCGGTTCACGGGCTAGTTCGGCCCGTGAACATGTCTATGTGTGCAAGTATTGTATCCTAGATGAAAGGGAATATCCATGGAGCCTGTTGATGAGACATAAATTAATAATGTAGGGTGATTTTAATGATATAATTTTTACAGTGGGCGTCATAGTGGAACCAATCTTCTGTATACAACAAGTAAACCATACTATTAATGACCATATTAATAAAATTATTAGTATTATTTAAGCAATTCGAAAAAATTGTATGATTTATCTGTTGTATACAGAAAGTTGACTCTACTATGAAGCCAACTGTTGGATTGATAAAAAAACTGATAATTTCTAACTAGGAAAAAAGGGGTAGAACTAGAGAAGCTTTAAATTTTATGGATGTATTTCGTTTGAGATTGCTAAAGATTTTTTTAATATTTTAGAAATCTTTGTGTATTTAATTTATATTTTTTTAGACTTATAAAAGTCTGTATGTATTCATTTGAGATTTTTAAAAAGTGTTACAAAATAATGAGATATTTAATTTATTACTAGAATTTGTTAAAACTTTTGAAAATTTGTTGGAATTTCAAAAAGAAAACATATATGAAATCCTACTATAAAATAAAATCCCACCTCTACATTAAAGATTTCATAATATTTCTTCAAAATTTGAAAATCATATTTTAAAAAGTTTCAAGTTCCAAGAAAGCCATATAAATTATATAAAAGCTCTTGTGTAAAGACAAATAAGTGGCAAACAATTAAAAAGACAACAAGTTAGATCCACATTGGATAAAGTTGGATTGGGCAACAAATTTTTGGAGTTTAGGTTAACATCGGTTGATATTTGATAGTCCAATCTTCTTTATCGATACATTATTATTTTTTTTTTACCGAAACGATAGAGATATTATTTGATTCCTTAAGTTTGTCTTTTTGTCATCATTTTTTGGGCAAATAAAAAGATATTGTCCAATTTTGCGTTCCATATTAATAAGCAGAAAATACATTGTTTTCGCAGTTAAAAAGATCCATAAATAGTTGGAAATAAATTGCAATATCATATTATAAAATATTTATTTTCAATATGCAAAATACATGTTTTTAACTATGTAATCTATTTTATTTTTCTTGGTAAAATATACAAGTTAACTTCACGAACATTAATAATTTACGCAATCTCGTACATCTTGACTATACACTAAGAAATGAACGCATATTGTATGACTAAGATGTACGAGATGTTGCAAATTATGAATTTAATAAAAATTTGATTACATTTTACCAAAAGGATACCAGAGGATGTGAAGTCCAAAAACATCGTATAATGAAGATTGCAACATTGTTTACACTAGGATATATCACACGAAATTTGACGGTATAATTGATGATCATACATATTAATTCTACTATTGACTAATTTTATTACTAAGAAAGAAACAAGATCTTATCTTATATTGTATGATTATCCAGCATTGTTGATTTGTAATTTTGACTAATATTGAGGATGCGACAAAATTTCAAAATTGGTCATGTAATTTGGCCAGTGTTCAAAAAACTCACATCGTCGTTTGACCATTTTCATTGGGTCCCATTACTGGATAAAAACGTGACGTGACATGACGTGACAATTTTTTAATGTGACGTGGCGTGATTGTGGGTTACATGGCGGGATTAAAAATTCAGAAACAATAATAATTCATTTCAAATTCTTAAAACAAGGTCAACACCCAATTTCATGGTCAACTGCCGCCTCTGCCGCCCGCCACCACAGTCCGCCAGTGTCGTTCACCGACCGCTAATCAACCGCCTCTAATCAGAAATTTTTTACATCATCTAGAAGCTCTTTTCTTCCTCGTTCACCACCTAAAATTTCTAGCAAAAATTCAACCGGCCGTCAATTACTCCGGTCAATGTTTTTAGATCTAGAAAATTTCGGTCAAAATCCGGTCTTCTTCTTTAATTTTTCGGCGATCCACGACGACCTACTGAAATCTGAGGACACCTCCGGACTCCTTGCGTCGTCGTGCACCCGACGACGTCCACCATCTCCGAAACCGACAATTTCGACGACCCATTTTTTTTAGTTATTATTATGTATTTTTATCCAGTTGTATGTGTCTACTTGGCAGCGAGGGTGCCAAATCACGTCGAAAAAATCGTAAATGGATCTAACTAGGCTCCATGTCATGCCACGTCACGTTTTTATCAAGGGAGGGGATAAAAAAGAACCAAAATTGATTAAATTGTCAAATTATTGTACCAGTTTAAAAGGAATCAATGACGGGGTGAGTTTTTAGACCGTGGTCAAATTATAGGACCAATTTTAAAATTTTGTCTTGAAGATCCCTAGTTTCTTAAGTTTAACCAATTTAGTGCAAGAAATATCGCAACAAGTTAAAAAAATGTTTGAAACATATTATTTCTACTTTTGACTAATTTTATTACTAAGAAAAAGACAAGATGCTATCTTAATTGATTTTCATGTTGATTTGTACTTTTGACTAACATAAGGATACTTAATTTCTTAAATTTAGCTAATCTAGTGCAAGAAATATCGCATTAACTTATATTGAAAAATGTTAAAAAATTCACGTCATATATAGTCAATTTTTCTATAGAACCAACAATTGAATTCGACCAACTTCCTATACTTAATATGTAAAATATATGTATATTATATAGTTAGTTAAAAAGTACAAACTATTCTTTTAATGTGAATTTAATTTCTTAATTGCTATGTAGACGATGTTTGCTCAATTATAAAGTCAACTATTGGTTTTATAGAAAAACTTGCCATATAGTCCGACAATGACATTATTTAGTCAAATTTGGTCGAAGGATAACTAATTTCAACTGAGTCAAACTATTGAAGTGCATATGAAATATTACAAAAAGATAAAATGTATAAAAATTCCTAAGCACGATTGGCTATAAAATTGGTTTTGACTGGTTGCATAATATATTTATACTTTTTTTGTTTTTTTTTACATAAAATTCAACTCAAATTTAATCAGCTCTCGTAAATATTATTTCTTATACATTTATTTTTTCGGCAGCTGTTATTAATTTGGCAATACATGGCTTTATTGAAGGAGAAGTAAAAGGTACAAGTACATAATGCATTGGCATGCAAATCGTTCAAGCCTTATTTCTAATAAATAACAAAAGGTACAACTATTTTTTCTTGCTATTTTTCTGGTGGCAATTTTCCCTCCAAAAAAGATGTAAATAAAGTAAGTGCATTTTTGGGCTGGTCACGGGGCACCAAATGCCCACTATCTCTTACCGTGGTAAAAGTTAAGTTTTTTTCATATCCAACCGCGTAACCTGCCACCTGTGAGGTAAAAAATAAAAAAAATAAAAATTTAAAAATTTTGACTACATAAAGAGTTAAATAATTAATAATATACAAAAATCATGGCTACAAATTTACTAATATAATTAATTATTTTGTTAAGAATGAAAAGAATTTTTCGAAATTTTGAAATTAATTATTCGATTATTCAATAAACCGGTGACCAGGAGAAATATTTATCAATGTTATTTACGTGGTAAATAGTTATTAAGAACTTTAGACCCATAAATTGAATTTACATGTAAATTAGTTATTTTTGTAATTATCTTTATTGATATTTGTAAGAACACATTAGAACTTTGTGATCCCTTGGTGTAGAGGGAATACCATTTAAAAGAAAAATAAATATCAATATTGACATCTATATAAGTATAACATTTATCTAAAAAAAAAATCTTATTATTATTTATCTAATAA